AAAAAAAAAAAAAAAAAAAAGCAGCTTTCCCCAAAAGAAGGACTCTTGTTCATTGCTGATGTATAGGAATACTACAGAATGGAACTATTTTTGATACACTGCTGTTGGGGCTGGTTTAAAGAAGAAAAGTCTTTAAGTTCTAAGGTTTGAATGAAGCATTCTTAACTAGGTGTGAATGAGAACAAGTGCACTTAGAGATAGAAGACAACCAAATACCCAAACTTACATCAAACTCAAAACTTATTTTTGAAGTTGTATTATGCTATAGATCAGTGGTCCCCAACCTTTTTGACAAGAGGCACCAGTTTTGTGGAAAACAATTTATTCTTTATCTGAAATTCAAGTTTAAGTAGATATCCTGTATTTTTATTTGTGAGATCTGGTGGTGGTGGCAGGCGGGGGAGGAGAGATAGAGGATGGTTTCAGGATGATTCAAGTTCATTACATTTATTGTATGCTTTATTTCTTTTATTATTACATTCTACTATATAATAAAATAATTATACATCTCACCATAATGCAGAACCAGTGGGAGCCCTGAGCTTGTTTTCCTGCAACTAAATGGTCCCATGTCAGAGTGATGGGAGACAGTGACACCTGAAGTTGGTTGCTGTCATTGCAGAAAACTTGGCTTTACAAAGATAGGATGGTGGAAATGGAAGCAAGCTTTTCAGTGCTGATCTGACAGGAGGCAGAGCTTAGAGGGGTAATGCCAGTGATGGGGAGCAGCTGTAAATAGCTCGCTGCTCACCTCCTGTTGTGCTGCCCAGTTCCTAACAGGCCATAGACCAGTACCAGAATTGGGGCCCCCTGCTATAGTTAGGGACTCCTACTATAGATAATGGTTTTTATCTATGGTTCCTGGTTCATAACTCCCTTGTTACAATCTTTAGTTAAGGGTCAAGCTTCAGAAGCGGAATCTCTCTTACCTTCGCCTGCTCTCCTTTCAAACCCGCCCCAATGCAATACTCTGACATTCCCCCACTTTCTGATTATGGGTCTTAAAACCTTCCCCAAAGAGGATCCCTGCCCTATACGCTGGGGGAAGGAATGCTGATGTCATGAAGCTTCTATAACAACCCAAGAGGACTGAGTTTGGGGAACTTCCAGAACTGGGGGATCGCATGGAGGTTTCTGGAGAGTGGTGCACCCAGGAAGGGTACGGAAGCTCCACCCTTTCCCCCATACCTCTTCACCCTGTGCATCTCTTCATCTTTATACATTGCAATATCCTTTATAATAAACCAGTAAATGTGTTTCTCTAAATTCTGTGAGGCCCTCCTGCAAATTGAACCCAAAAAGGAACTTGTAGGAACCCCAGCTTGAAGCCCACAGGTGAGAAGTACCAGAGACCTGGACTTGCAACTGGTGTCTGGGAGAGGGTAGTCGTGTGGGACTAAGCCCTCACCCTGTGAGATCTGACACTGTGTCTAGATAGACAGTGTGGAAACTGAACTGGAAAGTGCCCAGCTAGTGTCTGCTGCTTTGTGTGTTGGGGAAAGACCTCCTCGCCTTTGGTCACAGAAGTCTTCCTCTGTGTTGATGATTGTTGTGTTGTGAGAGCAGAGGGAAAAGCTCAGTTTGAGAGAGTTTCCCTAAAGGAGAAGTGAAATGAGTGGCTATTGACTGAAATAACAAGGCTGTAGATCCACAACTGTGACTTAAACCTGTGACCTTGGAGAAACATCTGCGATTTCTTACAACTGCTTATTCTTGTAGATAGTTTTTCAGGGAGTTATGTTAGTCTTGTTTGTTTACTTCTCACCTTTTGAGAATATGATCCTTGACAAATCCTTAAAAATCTAAAATATATTATCATAGATACGTAAAATATTGGCTGGAGAAAATTGATTTTTTATTTGACCTCATGCTATAAACTAAAAAGCTCCTACTTTTTTTTTTTAAAGACATGCTTTGTGACATGTACTTTGTATTACAGGCAGTGAGATCACTCAAGGAGACAATCGAAGACTGTTGGGACCAGGATGCAGAGGCTCGGCTTACTGCACAGTGCGCTGAGGAGAGGATGGCTGAACTTATGATGATATGGGAAAGAAACAAGTCCGTGAGCCCAACAGTTAACCCAATGTCTACTGCTATGCAGAATGAGCGGTAAGCTCCTGAGGGGTTTTGCATCTATCAATTCATATTAGAAACTGCGTCCAGACAGGCGCAGTGGCTCAAGCCTGTAATCCTAGCACTTTGGAAGGCCAAGGTGAGGGGATTGCCTGAGCCCACGGGTTCAAGAACAGCCTGAACAATTTGACAAGACCTCATCTCTACAATAAAAAATAAAATAAAAAAATTAGCCAGGCATGGTAGCGTACACCTGTAGTTCTGGCTACTTGGCAGGCTGAAGTGGAAGGATCACCTGAGCCCAGTCACTGGGGTGGCTGTGAGCATGCCACTGCACTCCAGCCAGGGTGATGGAGTGAGATTCCAACTCAAAAAAAAAAAAAAGAAGAAACTGCAATCAGAGAACAGGAAATAAATACTATTAACCCAGCCTAGTGGTGCAATGATGAACCCATATGATCTCAAGTTATAATATTTCTTTCATTATTCCCATTCTTCTACTGAAAATTTTTGTCTAGTATGAGAGCAAGATGGAATCTATGTTTTTTATATGTAAGGATATAGTAAAAAAAAAAAGATAAATCTGTATTAGTGGCCCACCTTTCCTAAATAATAAAGGTAAAACATTTTTACAGTTCCAAATGTTTATAAGTACTTCTACATATATTTCTCATCTATCCTTTATTATTCCTTTCTTCTCTGCTTTTTTTTAAGTAAATAGAACTATGAACTTGGCTGTGTATTTAACCATTATTTCATTGACACTGAGGTTTCTAGACTTTCCATCCAATGCTCTTTCTTATAGAATATACTACTGCTACTTTTTAGTGAAAGTAATTCAAAGGTGTTTTCGTTCCATCATGAACATTATTTTGTGAGACATTTTCCTTGTTAGAACTGTGATTTTTGGTTCTAAATGAAAAGGCTTTTTAAAAATTGTGGAATTGGCCGGGTTCGGTGGCTCAGCCTGTAATCCCAGTGCTTTGGGAGGCTGAGGTGAGCGGATTGCCTGAGCCCGTGGATTCAAGACCCGCCTGGGCAACTTGGCGAGACCTCATCTCTACAATAAATCAAAAAATAGCCGGGTGTGGACATGCGTGCCTGTAGTCCCAGCTACTCCGAAGGCTGAGGCGGAAGGATCGCCGGAGCACAGCAGGCGAGACTGCGGTGGCTGGGAGCAGCCACTGCACTCCAGTCTGAGCGACAGAGTGAGACTCCAACTCAAAAAAAAAAAAAACAATCGGGGAACTTTCAGACTATCATCTGTATTTCTTTATTCCATGTTTATGGGAAAAAAGCTTTCCTACACCTTTGTCATTTTATCTAGCACATGTTTAAGAAGGGCATCCAGTAAAGGGCTACCAGAGAAAATTGAGATGAAAACACACTTGATTCTGGAATCATTTTCTTTGTTATTTTCTATTGTCCTAGCCTCTAAGAGCTATTTGTATTATGAATTATGGGTTGAAATCAGGTTTGCCCTACATAGGTTGAATTGGTGTCAGATATGAACTCTTACACATTACACACCAACAAGTCAAAGAAGGTGAGATGAGACTTGACACAACCTGAGAATAGTCTTCTGTGTGATCTCCCCTCATCTCTGTATCTTCCATGTTCTCTAGTATGCCATTTATACCTCTCTCAAAAGTCAGCTGAAGCTTTTACTATAAATACTTTTGAACTTTTATTGAACCCTTTATGTTGCCCCCCACTTTGGGCATTTTTTACCTACTGTGTCATTCAGCTGTCCTCCCTAGCATGCGTCTTCTCATTCCCTAAATTATAGTTCATCCCATAGTCATTCTCACCCAAGGTTTCATGTTTTCCTCTTTAGTTTCCTTTCTTTGCATTATGTAACAGCTTTTTCTTCTTCCCCTCCTATAATTCCTCTTATAGCTTCACCAGTCTCCCTTTATAAAAGGTACCTCTCCTCCTTCAGCTGCTGCTTCCTTCCTATAACACTTGTCTCTGTTAATGTTCCCAATGTTTGTACCTTGTTTGCTTGTTTTCAAGTCAGGGTCTTGCTCTCGCTCTTGCCCAGGCTGGAGTGCAGTGGCACAATCATGGCTCACCACAGCCTCAACCTCTTGAGTTCAGATGATCCTTCCACCTCAACCTTCCTAATAGCTGGGACTATAGGCACACACCACCATGTGATTTTTTTGAAGAGACAAAGTCTCACTGTGTTGTCTAGGCTGGACCTGGGTGGTTTTTGTTTAACCTATCCCTGGTTTTTATTTTAGCCAGATTTTAAATAATATAAATACATTACAATGTGGTGGTCAAGAGCTGTCACTCCCAAACAGTGACAATGTCTGTGAAGAACCCATGACAAGTGAAAAGCAGTTTTTTTTGTTTTGTTTTGTTTTGTTTGTTTGTTTGTTTGAGTTGGAGTCTCACTCTGTCGCCCAGACTGGAGTGCAGTGGCCGCTCCTGGCCACCCCAGCCTCGCCTGCTGG